AAACTAAAAAGTCCTTGGCTAGTGTAAATGCTACCTAGCAACAACTAAAACATTGGTGTGTTATCAACTTTGTTCTCATCCTAAATCCAAAACACAGCACTGTACCAGCTACTAGGAAGGAAATTAACTCTATCCCTGCTGAAACCAGGATAGGGACGACCAGTCCACCTGAGTACATCTCAGCTAACGCTGAAATAATGAGGGATGGAGAGCAAAGGTCTCCCCATCCCAGCAGGCAGAACAGAGAAGCTGGGTAGAGGCATTGCTTCTGCTGCAGGACTGTGTATGAAATAACCCACCACGCGCTGCTGGCAATTGCCGTGGTTATAGGAGACATCGCTTATGCACATGGTGTTTGGAATTTAAAGCCTGAATAATTGGCACGAGGAAATTGGAAATCCAGAGATTACAGCGGCAGGACTGTATGTGCTGTATATACCAAGGAACTAGTGACAGGCCGTTCCTGCCATTGAGTTTAATGTTGTTATACATCTGTTTAAGACACAAAGTGATTGGAAAAAGTGATCTCGTTAACATGTTTGCTGAATCTTCTAGCGATAAAGTGCTACAGTGCATTATAGCAAGGGGAAAACATGATGTAAAAGTCTCCTGGCCCTAAATTGAAGCTGTAACTAACGTATAAAATCCAGCTCCGTTAATTCCGTATTAATTTCTCTTTGTCTGAGTGATTCCTCTTTGCGCTCCCCCTCCCACCCCCATCTGGGAGATGCCTTAACGCAGAACACTGGTTGAAGAAACTCATTACTTTTTGAGCATCTGCAAGAAATATTAAAAATCGATTGCAACAGATGAGGTTAAAGGGGGATGAGCCTCACCAGTGATCCACACCCTGCTTCCAGGTTTGGGTGGGGAAGAGCCATCTTCAGAACGAAAAAAGGGGCTAAGTTTTAATTGATCAAGATGACAACCTAAGCACTAGTTATAGCCTAGAGGATTCCCTAGAAATCCCAGCAAACACCAAAATTCCTGTAGGTGGTATGTATTTGAAAGTAGCAGAGCAAGATAAATTCTCATATATTAGCTTAATTTGGAAAAAAATTATGGCACTATGTTGTAGCTTTAAATGGTGATGGGTTACAGAGCCCAAAATGGAAATGTACTGAAATTCTTTGGTGGGATGAAGGGGAAGGAGTGCGGTTTTGCTGTGATGGGTGGCTGTGAAGCGATGCTTTTGCAGAGTTCTGGCTAAATAAACCATGACAACATAGACTAAATGCAATGAAAAATAAGGTACCATGCTGTCTCGGGTGCGTCTCAGCTGGTGAGCTCCAGCTTATGTGTTACCTCAATGTCATAACTGGACTGAGACAGAGTTGGTAATGATTTATTTAAATTTGCACAGTGAGACAAGAGCTGAGTCTGGAAGAGAATTACCCAAAGTCCAGGTCTGCCTCTCACCCACCGGCTGCTTCATAAAGCATGGAGAGTGCTCTGCAGTGCCAGAGGAACGTCCTCTGGCCGAGTTGGTATTACACTGTATGGAGCAGGCTGGAGCTCTTGCTACAGCATCATTTTCTGTTGATTGTCATTAGAAATATCAGATGGTATCTTGTTTTGTGCTTTTTCTGTCTGTAAACTGAATAAATTTTGTTCAAGAAACATCTCCGCCCAACCTCCTTGTCGAGACCTTTGGTAAAAGGAGCACCATGAAGCTTGTAGCTAGAGGTTCCCGAGAGCTGCATTTTTGTCTTAAAATTGCAAGAATTACAGAAAATTGTTTTTTTGATAGAGTCATTCTGAACTTGTGCCTTTTTTTTAATTGAACTTTTGTATCTTTAACTGGTCTTTGTTTTTTATTGTGTGTTTTTTTTTATGTAGCTCCCCAGAGGAATTTCGAAATTGCCTTTAAGATGTTTGATCTGAATGGTGACGGCGAGGTGGATATGGAAGAGTTTGAGCAGGCAAGTTGAACGACAGGTTGACTTCTTAATGCTACGGCATCTTAGTCATAAGTGCAGCATTCCTCTATGATGTTCTTGTGATTTATATTTGTGGTTACTGCTGGTTTACGTCTTTTCCTTCTATGGTCTGCTGTGTTGCCTCAGTGCCTGCTTTTTTTTTAACTGGGTATTTCAAGACAAAATTTTTCCATTCAACAAGGACAACTGTAAGTATAAACTCTGATTTCCTGTGACTTTGTCACCAAGGTATCTTTACAAGATGTCACCTCGAAAGTAGATAAAGAATTTTTTTCACTGTACTGGTGTCATAGGATTTTGATCCTACTTTCTTCCACAGATTTTACTGCATTCCTTAATTTTGTTTGTCTTCAGAGAACAACCAGGGCAAGTCTGCTTCAGAGAAGAATTTAGCCATTTATTTCAGTGTAATCTAAAAACATGTTTGAGAGTGTATTTTCATTAGTTTCTTTCCCCTACTTCTTACAGGGTTTCATCAGCAGGGAGTTTGATGCAGGCTTTTTAATGAGCTTAGCCTGCATGCTTGATACTGGTGAGGTCCTCCTATAAGCTATGGTTTGTGATTGTGTTAGAGTGAGAATAGATTGAAGACTCAAGCTGTCAGTGGGGAAAAGATCTGACCTCCCCAGGCAGAAGTGTGTGGTTTTCTTGCCCATGTAGAAAACAGCCTTAAGGCTTTGGAAACTTATAAACATCCTGAAGTCGCTGTGTATTAGCAAAGCTCCATGTGTGTGCTACTCATGAAAGGAAAAGAAAATGTATTTGCAAAGCAGGGAACTGGCCGGTTGGATGAGGAATCACCACCCCTGTTATCAAAGAATGAGGTAGAGGGGAGAACCTAATCTACCTAATATTCATGTGGCCCCTGGCACTTCTTCTGTGACCTCACATCCCTTGGGTCTGTATGTTTAATGGGCAAGTGGAAGCTGACGCTTCTGAGCAAAGAAAGTGAGACTCTGGTCAAAAAAATAACCTGCTGTTGTGGGGTTTTTATGCTGGAGGACATACGTGTTCGGAGATGGTGAAATGCTGTGTACTGATATCTGAGAACAAAGCAGCCCTGAATAATCTAGTTAGAAATTCTTACTCATCGGTTGATCGAATGATTAGTTAGCTTCAGAAGAGTCTGTAAGAGGTCATGCTTGGGGCACTTGCTATAAATGGGAAGAACTAGTGGCAAAGCAGGTCTGTTAATTTAATTCCCCCCTTCTAATCTTTTGCTGTTGTCCTCTTTAAATTATTACCTGTGGGTATGATGTCATTATTATGAGTTTGCTGCAAAGCTGTGTAATATATCTGGTTAACTGTACGTTTTTAGATGCGATTTTTGGACTATTAGGAGAATGGGAGTATGTTTATCTCCAATGTGATAACCCTTCACATGACAGTTTGTAAACCCAGGAGTTTATTCATTTTCCTTTGAGTGCAATTTGAATACACCGCTGTGTCCAGGTTATTGTTCTGTTTGGCACTGCCTCCCTACAAACTACTCATTTAGCTATGAAAAATTCCAAGTGTCCTATTTTCCCAAGTAAAAAATACTGCTGTTCCTTCTGTTTGCATAGTGCATGAATATAGCACTCCAGTGCAGCTATCTGATAATATTTAACAATTCAAAAGGTGTTTTACAGTAGTTACTAATGTTCTAGAGTGAAAGTCAATTATGGAGATAAATGAATTTAAGAAAAGTGGAGAACGGTTAACCGCCTAGTAAAAATGCAGTGATGCATTTTTGCATAGAGGTACTAATGCAGGTGTCCTGTTTGGCTTCTTTATTAGACATGTAAAGTAAGAAAGAATGTTTCTTGAGGATGACTGTTTCGGAAGTGCTATGAAGATGGAAGTACAAAACTGAATTAAGTTCTCTCAAATCATCTGGTAGGCAAAGGGAAGTTTATATGTGCATTAAGTCATATAAAAATCCTTAGGAAGAACAACATTTTTTTTTTAAGCTTGTTGCATGCATCACTGCCTCTATATAAAGGAATAAAATTCCTGGTTAGCATCAGAGTATTTTGGTGAAGGCTGATCTTCCAGAGCTTTCGAGTCGGAGGATGAAGGGGCTGTTTTGGAAAGTGAGAAGAAGCTGACAATATCTTCGCAGATATCGGTATAACTGATTTGCTGCACTTTGCAAACAGAATTAAAGCCAAGGCATAGCTTCAGTGGGAAGCACATATATAACATTATACACATATATACTATAACAGACACAATAATTTATATGATAAATACGCTTTTTCACTCCTTATGGAAATACCTCCATAAGATCATGAAGGATGGCAGGGTTTGCAGATCTGTACCATAAACATCTTGGTGCATACCTGGCAGGGGCAGCTGGAACTGCTTCCAGGGGAATATGCTGTTAGAGGTGGCATCAGTTTAGAAGAGCAACATCGTTTTGGGGAGAATGGGAAGAAAAAGAAGGGAGAGAAAAGGGTCATCACAGAAGCATCGTACTGTCCCCGCTGGCTGTGAGCATGTGGGAATGAATTTCTTACTCCTTTTTCACACGTTGTCTTTGGAGACAGCCAACAGCAGGTCTATTCTCATTAATGTCTGACAAACCTTAAGAGTATTCATCAAGGAAGAAAATTACTTGTGGTAATTCAGCTAATATGCGAGTAAGTCGGAGGCTTTAACTACCTAATAAGAAAATATTGAATTTCTTCAGGCCTCACTGAAGAGTCTCAGGTTTGTTTTTTTTTTTCCAGTTGATGCATATGGTTAGTGTATAGTGCTAAATAGTTTGGTGCCTGCATCAGTATCATGTTCAACTTTTCATCCTTCAGCATGTAAATTGTTAGTTTACTCTTCTATTTTTAACTAAGAAGTCAGATGAAAAGTAGTAAACTCTCAAGCAGTGTTACTCGTGATCTCTTTTCAAACCATTAACTATTTTCATTGATTTTTTCTTTTTTTTTTTCTTGTCTGGTACAAAAGATGAAACAGATCACAAACACTTAGGCTGAAATACATACCAAAGACAGTGAAGCATCTCTGTGCTTCCCGTCGTCATATGATCGATGAGCTGTGGGGGAGGACAGCACTGGTTCAGCTGAAGGACAACTTTTTGTAGTGGTTGCCTGCCTTTCTGGGTATTAGAAGGATTACCCAAAATAGGGACCAGCCGAATAGTTTTGGCTCCAGTGCCCACAGATGGATTTTCAAACTGTCTGATACTTGTTACAGATGGGGAGAGAAGAGTAGTGTAGGATGCCTTATAAATAACACCCAGGAAAAGATGCTCTATCAAACAGCCTGCAGTGTGGTAAACACTCGCTTCTGCAGAAACAGGAGCAGTTTTCCAAGCTGGTCACAAACTGCGTTGCTTCAGATAGTTTGTAAATATTTGTCTCCAAAATGTGCATGCAGAGCTCACAGTTAAAGTGGAGCACAAAGCAAAATAAGGAGTTGCTATTTACAGTGCAAAAATCCTTCCTCACATCACAGTGCATATTTCAAAGAAAAAACCCCCAAACCTTTTTTCTTTATTTTTTTTTCCCCTCTGACTTGACTTGGTTTTCTTTGTAGTGGAAGAATAGCCAGTAGTCTGTGGTTTGGAGGCAGTGTTTCAAGCAAGGTGAGCCCGGCAGCAATACGTGGCGTTCTCCTCCAGAGCATCCCCTTTGGGATTGTTCCAGCGCTTGCTCTCTTGTTAGGAAAAAATTGAACAAGCTGTATATCACGATAACGAGGTTCTGGTGTCCTTTTGACAGCTGGAGCTCTTGGCAGCTGTTTCTCTTCCTCCCTTCCAACTTCTGTCGTCAGGAGGAAGAGGCTGAAGGCAAAGCAGTGGTGTTTGCTGGAGCTTTGGGAAGCCTGTGCTGTTGAGGCTGAGTGCCGGGCAGCATGTTGGGTGGCTTTTTTCCCCCCTCCTTTCTCACACTCGTTGTCCTTAATACGAATCCTCTGCCTTGTTGGAAGGGATCGGCTATTATGCAGAGAATAATCCTGGCTTCTCATATCACTGCAGTAGTCATTCAGATGGGCGAGTGCTGGGAAGGGGTAGTGGGATACTTGGGGGTGGAGAGAGGAGGCGAGTGTGCGCTTGGCTTGGCTGCCTCCTTAAATTAGCACAGGACCCTTAAAATAACAAACTGTTGGATTTTTCAGGCTGTTGCATCCTTCAGGTTCAACCTTTTGCTATGTTGTAGTGGGTAGGGAAATTGTCCTGCACATCCTTGCTCTGTCCTGTAGCATCCACTCAAGTTGAGCGGTGCCTTCAAGAAGGTACAGGGTGCTACTGAGAGCTCAGGGGAGAGAACAAGGATGCTGTTTGCCTGTGTGGTTTGTTAAAAATGTTGAGAGATTGCTGTCATAACATGTGTTTTCACACTTGGCTGTCTTCGTGCAAATATCCCAGTCTGTTGGTAACTCAGATACTTCTGCATTACTTGTTATTCTGCTGGCGCTGCCACTGGGGTTGTATTTGGGCTGATGCAGCCTGCAGGACTTTTGGAGAACCCTTTGCTCTGGGTGGGTCAGCCCTCGCCTGCAGCTCAGCTTGCCCCACAGCCCCAGGGATGGAGGAGCTTCCAGCTGTGGCAGAGAGTGGCAGGCAGCAAGGAGGGGGGTGCCCTTGGGTAGAAAACTCCTGGTTTTGTGCACAAGGGGAAAGGAAACGCAATGTGAGCTAACCGAGGTTGGTGTGAACTAACAAGGATGGGCAGTAAAGTGGGAGTGGAAGCTCCAAAACATGTGCAGGCTTTTTTCTTCCCCACGGTTGCCTCAGCTTTCTCTCCTTCTGCGACTTCGCTGGGAACAAGCTGCTCTCTGCTGACCAGGTGTAGTATCAGTGCTAAAATGCTTATCTGCAAACTGGATGAATTGTTTCTTAAAACTTGTTTTAAGCATTTAATACTCTTCTTTTTTTCAAGAGGACTGAAATAAACAAAGCCTAAGTTCAGCCAAATTTTTTAGTTGTCATGTCTTTTAAAAATTATTTCAGGCAAAAAAAAAAAAGAAAGAGGATGACATGTCTGATCCTGGAGTACTTTGTACTGATACTTGACTAGTATAAGTCCCAGAGGTTTTTTCAGTGCTAACATCCTCCCTCTTATTTTTAGGTCCAGAGCATCATTCGCTCCCAAACCAGCATGGGCATGCGCCACAGAGACCGGTCTACAACGGGGAACACCCTGAAAACTGGCTTCAACTCTGCACTGACAACATACTTCTTTGGGGCAGATCTGAAGGGGAAGCTGACCATCTCCCACTTCCTCGACTTCCAGCGCAAACTGCAGCACGATATTCTGAAGCTTGAGGTTTGGGTTATTTTTTTATGTATGGTGGAGAGGGCAGTGCAGCATGGACAGTGCTGCAGGACATGGTTTCTGGAGGAAGAGCAACAGCATGGGAGGGCTTTGGAGGGAATTAATACAGCTGTGGCTCATAGCTCTCACGGATCAAACCTGTTGTTGAATTTCTGATGAGCATTTTGGTGCCTGTGGCACTCCCCAGGAACATCTCCAGCTTTTGTCAGTAGCGGCTGTTGTGGAGTTGCAGCAGCAGCCAGCATGTGCTGGGTGCGTGTCCCTCCATGTGGTGCTTGCCTTGCCAGCGCCTTGACACTGCTGATGGAGGTGGTTATGTGAGGCTTTAGAAAAAGACAAAAGAGGCTGTGAGCAGTCTGTTGCTACCTTCCCAAGGAAGGTTTGCCTCAATCCCAGTGAGCAAGTGTGCCCTGAAGGATCAGGGTTCATAACCATCCCAAAACTCTTCATCTCTGCTTTTGTCCCTGCCTTCTTGTTTCCTTCACTATTCTGAATATTTTGGCTGTGTAAGTGTTCAGGCCTTGTGTAAATCCTGCTAAATAGGTGGTCTCTGTTACGTGACCTTCATTATTCACTCCTGGGTTAACATGCATTATAAGAAATGTCCATATATTCTGAGACTCTTGCCCTTCAACTGAACTGAAGGTCTCCTTTTTTTTCTTTGCATTACCAGGAGTTAACAGCAGCTCCCAATCTCCCTCTTCCTAGTCACATAGCTGGAATTTAAGCATCAAGCTTCAAAATTTGGTTCTTTTGACTAAAACTAGTACAAGAATAGCAACGGGGGACTCCTTGGTCTGTGTCTCAGCTCCCAAGTGGAGCTGACTCAAAAACGGTGCCCTTCTCTGGAGCAGGCTTAAGGGTTTGACCTGGCTTGAGCGAAGCCAGGCTTTTATTTGCATCAGAAATGAGGATTTTGTGTACAAGATCATCCCCCCACAACCATAACCTGTTAAGAGTTTCGGTATTCGGAGCTCACTACTGCTTCAGTCTGATGTATGAATGTCTGTGTGCTCCCGTTGTGTGATCCGGCTAATGGACAGCATTTTGTTAAGTTCCTATTAAATCAGTCATTGCAAACTTAACCTGAATTTATTCCCTTTTTTATTTGGAGTTTTATGAATCTAAGTAAGAAACTGACCCAAGGACTAATTTTTTTTTTTGAAGGTAATTGTCTAGTTTGCTGACTTCATTTAACTGGTCATTAAAGCAGGTGGTGTGGCTCTACATTTGCAGAGGGAATAGGTTGGTGGAAGAAAATGTTCTTTGTGAACTGGAAGGTGTCACTTCCTCAGTGCCTCTACAAATTGAAAATGAATACAATACTTTTTAAGGTTAAGAAACATAAGCTGAAACTGGAAAGCAAAGGGAAGAGAAATAGAGATTATTCTATCCTCGTTTGCCGTCCTGCTCTGGTTTCCCACTGCCACGTTTGCTCCAGGGACACGGGCAACGAGGAGGCACTGAAGGTTATTCCTGACCAAGTGCTGGAGTCCTGTGTTCCCTCCATGGGTCCCCACTTATCTCATTAAGAAGCAGTGGGGTGTTTTTCAGTTTCATGGCACTTGTTGTTCTTTTCCTCCTGCAACAGTTTGGTATTAATTTAGGTTTTAGTGGTTTCAGTCAATTGTTCATCTTTCTGGTGAATGTTAGTTGCCTTTCTAACAAGTTATTTATTAATTGGGGACAGTACAAGATATTTATGTCTTGGTAAGTTAATGAATATCATAAACACATCATTACTGACTTCCTGACAGCATCCTTGAGCACAGTACCATGCTGTGCTTAGCATTTTTGATACTCGTTTTAACTGAAAAATTGACCTATGCAAAGGTAACAGTTCTGTTCTGCCAAACAATTTTTTCCTGAGTTCATGATACTAAAGCACCTGATTTTTCTGTTCATAGTTCTCATTGATTTAGGCAATACAGGCCTATTTCTGTCCTCAGCATTATGCAACATGGCGTCTCTCCTCTTCTGCTTTTATTTCTTTTGACATGATCTCCCACCTTCTCTCCTTGCTTCACATTTGATATGTTTGTTCACGGTTAAGCGGCTTTTCACACAAGTGTCTAGTGGGTTTACATTACTTCTTCCCAGGGAGTGCTCTAATGAACTCAGCCACTTAAAAAATGTGGTAATTCAGAGAAGAGACATCCCTCAAGTATTTACCTTGACCCGTGCAAATCAAGAACGTGAGAAGTGGTGCTAGGAAGTACTGTACTACAGAGCATCAGGTAACTCACGTAGCTGATTTTTAACGGCTTCCCTTGTTTTATGTGCCTATTTGGGTAATGAGCCTGTAGGTACAGTGGTCCGTTGTCAGCCTTGTGCTCGATTGCCTGTGCAGATCATCTCTGGATCCTTCTCTTGGCATGGCTAGTGTTACCGGTGGACAAGAAGGAGCAGAAAAAAGCTGGTGGCAGATCTGCCAGGGGCTCAGCTGAACCCTTGTACCCTCATCTACTCATCCTTTGCCGGCTTAGCAAAATTAGTCATGGTCTGAAGCTGGGGTGTTAATTTGAAAACCAGTTCTTGTTCATGTTCGGTGTCAACTCCAGAAAAGGCTCTGGGGAAATGCACCGTGAGCTGGGGCAGCCCCCGAGTGACACGATGCCTCTGTTCTCAAACTGGGATGCTTGCTTTCTCTCTTCCAAAAGAAATGTACTTTTAAGAAAGACCTTTTTTAAAGCTGTTTTCCCTTTGGCTCAGGATCAAGGCATACCTGCAGTTAATACACTTGAGAGCCGGTTTCTTCTGCTGACTGTGAAGGTGGGACAATAGTTTCTGACCATCTGAACCCACTGATTCTTACTCTTACTGATTTTGGTTGCTTTTTTTGTCTTAGCAAAATATTCATGCATATATCTTGTTTAAAATCGAGCGGAAACTTTCTCAGAGGAATTGGATCAGACAAAGCCCTGAATATTGCAATGTTCCTTATGGCTGAAGTGCTGACAGCATGTTTAAGTAACCGTGGCCTGTTGTTTTCTTCTTCCCTTCTGCTTATTTTTTGTGATGAAAGTACATTTTCCATCATTTTATGGAAACTCAGCAATCAGCTCAGTTGTGGGAAGGGAAGGATGAGAAAAGTAACCACAGCCAGAGGGAGAGGAGATGCTTTTAACAGCTTATTAAACTTTTTGTGGTTTGGCTACTTTGAGGAAGCCATGGCCTCCCTGTTGCGTTGCAGGGTGGCCCGGCTTATTTAAGGCTGAGCCATGGGAACTGACCCACTGAATGGGGCAGGCTCCCGGCAAAGCTCTCACCGTTTTCTTACTGCATTCATGCTGCCTTGCTTTAGTGCCTATGGAAAGACTTACTTTCTTCTTGTCACTTAGTGTAACAAATGGTGACAAGTTTGTCTGGACAGGCTCTTCAGCTATCATGTGTCCTGTATGTACCTGTCCTGTAATACAGGCGGTATTGAGCTCGAATGGTGGGGTTTTCTTTGAGTGAAGGTACTCTGTGAGTTAGGAAGATGAATAGGACTTGACATCATCGTTTATGCTATTTCTGCTTGTTAGTGTCTGTCCTAGATATTCCCGTGTCCTTGGTGGACCAAGAGAAGTCCCAGCCAGCCCGTGGGTCTCTTCCAGCCTAAATTTTTCTATGATTCTGTAAGTGCATGTAGAAAAGATGTTAGCCCTTTGTTCTCCACATCTGTGTCACCCCTGAAAGGCAACCTAAAACCTGCTAATAGCAGTGATTTAATCTCCGTATTTAGTCGTCTTTTATTTCCCCAAGTCTCTTTCTGCCAGCAGTGGGATATGTGCCTATGGTGTAAGACCTTAGTAAAGAATTTTTTTTTTTCAATTTGCCCGCAGTGAGATTTCTATAGCACATTGTTTCCCTGACAGTTATTCATGGAGGGCTTTTGTTCTCAGCTGAATTGGTGAAGCAGGTACTAATCCAGCCCTACACCTTGTAGGTGTGGGGCTGTCTTCCTGGCGGGAGATGCCACGGCTGGAGAGGCAAGGTTGTGCTGCACGGCTTTGAGCAACCCCGTGTCTCATTCTGGTGTGATCTGGAGTCTACGCTTCGAGGTGGTGGGATACAGCTTCCCATGGAGGAGCTTGACAGATAGGCTGAAGAGTCAGATCCTCGTGCAGATGTGTATCCTTATGCTTAAACATAGGGATCTTTGCAGATCGTTGTTTACCCAAGGATCAAGGATGCCCCAATAGCGGTCCCTCCCAAGCAAAAGGTCTTCCACGTGCTGGAGCAAGGAGAAGTAAAATGGGATTCTGTGAGAATATGGCAAAGGTACCACAAGACATCGCTGCCATCTGGAAAATCACTTATTTTATGTGTCTGTTCTGTGATAGGTGATGCAAGAGTAGCTTTTTTACCCTGGAAACTCCTGTTTTCATGACCAATGCCGATACGATTGCTGCTTGGTTTGGTTTTTGAAGGGGTTTTATGAAGAAGGGGTGATGGATGTTCTTCCATCTGCACATATCTTGTTAGAAAGTCCTAGATCTTTTTGGATCTCAACCCTGTCTTAACGAATATTCTGGTTTCAGAAGGCATTTCTAATGCTTCGCAATCTGGTTTTAGGGTAATAACTTGAGTCCCTAAGTGCCTTTCTGTTCTGAGTCCCAGTGCTGGGGTAGTTGGTATCTGAGTAATCCTGTACCAGACAACCTGTGTTGTTAACCAGCTTACTCAAGATTTTTTGGGTTCTGTCTTGTTTTTATATGGGCTTGCAGACTGATACAGATTTTCAGTGATTTTGTTAACATAGGCAGCAAAGTTTGCAGTAATGAGTCGCGTATCTTTGTATCTGCTGCAGTGATTTAGGTGAAAGAAAAGGGTAACTTAAATTGTTTTGACTGGCCTGAAAAATGAAGTCTGGCAGTGTCAGATTGGCTAAGCTTTGTAAGGAAGGGCCCAAAACTGGGACTTTTTGGAGGTCAATTTGCTATTGAACTTATACAAGACATTTTTATTTTAAGTCACCCTTATGGCAGTCTCTGTCATGGTTTAGC